ATCTAAATAGTCTAACTATAATAAACCATAGTATACGAGAAACCTGGCCTCGTATGATAGCGGAAGCGTAGCCGTGTTGATCTCCAGCCATAGTTGATGTTCCTATTGTGTTGCTTCTTAACGGTAGACCGTTAGCCATATTTTGCCTCAGACCTGACTCAGAACCCTAGATGGTGTATTGGTGTCTACTGAGCAGTCTGAGTACCGTAACTGAATGTGCTAACATCCAACATCCTGTATCCCATCAATCCAGGATTATATTAGGCACAGAGTTTGGTTGACTAACAACTACTAGTTATTAATTCCAACTAGACCACTTAATAAGCCTAGTAAACTTGCACCACTTAATTAAGGCCCTAATATATAATATCAATATATATTATAAGGGAAAATCTTACATCTCTACCTTCTTTCCTCTCTTCATTGGCATTGACACAAGCTTGCAGGGTCGTTACAACATGATAGGGCGGCTGGGTCGATTGCCAGAAGTGTGCGCGCGACCAAGTTGGAGGCAACATAGCGATGCTAACTGCCGATCGGGAACTGATCAACGCAGCACCCAGTGCTCTCCTGGCCCGCTACAGCCACCATGGTTGCTCCGTGATGGTGTTTTTCAGTCCCTCAGCCGGCTGGTTTTGCGCACAAACTACAAAGGTTGGCAGCCGGAGGAGCGCATGTGAGTCTGCACGGGAAGCTGAGTTTGGACGACACTGCATATTCAATTCCTGCTTCTCTGAATACTGATTTCCATGCTGATGGATTTAATTAACCCGGGGTAGACCCGAATCACTAAAACCGATAAGTAAATGGATCGGAAAGATATGTGTCGTGGGGACAACTTTGTATTGATAGTAATTGTAGCCGGGTTACAAGGTAAATGTTGTAATAAAATAGTAGATGTCCCTAGACAAGACACTAATTAATCCTTTTATACTAGCCAAGACTCCCAACCGCCCCCCTATTCTCGCGTTGACCGGATCCGTGCGAGTGCCCGGGGCCATATTATGCCTCCAGGCCCACGTAGGCCTTGCCCGAGGCCGTAGGCCGAGGCCTTGGTCGGCCTCATCCGGGGCCACCCTAGGCTTTCGCACCGGCCTTCCCGGGTCAGTTCGCCCGAGCCCATACTTAATATATCCATCATCAGTCCCCCACTCTCCGAGTTGCGAGTCGTCGTCAACAAAGGAGAGTAGCCTGAGTCGAAGGTTGAGCCCAAGCCCACAGGGCATTGTCCGTGCCGCACCCCCGGGCACCCACGTATGTTTCCGTCGCGCTCGGGACTTCTGACTCCCCGGGACACCCACGAGTCTTGGATTCCCCCCATCCATTAATGCCTAGGAAAACCCACATGTCACTCCCATCAACTCCCATCAACTTTCCCATTTCCCCAAGTTTGACTTTTCCTCTTCTTATCTTCTTATCCCATTTTCAAAATTCAAACTTTCCAACTACCCCAAAATCTACTCCAATCTTCTCTCCATTTTCCTTACAACCTTCTTCCTCTCCATCTCTCACACTCCTCACTCACCACTCCTACACTCCCTCTCCCCCGCCGGCCCGCCTTCCTCCGTCTCCTCGCCACGCCGCCGTCCCCGCGCCATACCAACATCCTCTCCGCGGCCCTCCGGCTTCCCCAAGCTTCACAACTTCTCCAAACACCCACTCCTCTTTTCCCCCTCTCTCCCTACTTAAACTCTCTCCATCTTCCACCGCCCGCTCCACTCTCTCTCTACCCGCCGGCCTCGCCCTATTCCCGTGCTACACCGGCGACCGCCCCCCGGCTCCCCGGGTCTCCCCACTTTCCTCCATCTAGCTCCGGCTTCCTCCCCGTATGTCCGCCGAGTTCGACGCCGCCGAGTTTGATGCCATCGATTTTAGCGACCTCTTCGTGACTTTAGGCGATACCGATCCCTCCATGAACCTTGAGGAGGACCTTTCCCCCCCCCCTACGGCAACCGAGGCCCACACCGGCCTCCCCAATGACACCCCGGTCGAGGCTCGCCCTCTCCAAGCCGTGCCCGGGGCTACCGCCACCTCCACTCGTAAGTTCACTCGTTTCGAACTTGACCCCACTATTCCCCGTTCCGTGCGTCCTTATATTACCGAGGAGGACCTGGACCTCGTGCGGTTGTACGTGGGACCCGGCGTGGAGGTCCTCGCCCCCCTCCCGTACGAGAATGTCACCGAGCCCCCGGAGGGCCGATTCTTTGGCGTCCACGTTCTTTCTCTAGCCTCGGGCCTACGATTCCCTCTCCACCCCTTCGTGGTCGAGTTGTTGAACCTCCATAGGGCCCCTCCGGGACAACTAGTCCCCCACTCTCACTCCATACCAATAGCATTCCTTCTCCGTTGTGAGGACGTCGGGGTCGCGCCCTCCCTCGATCTTTTCCACTATACTTTTTAAAGCCGGAAACTCCTCGGGGGTTAAAAGTAAAGGTTTCATGGCTTTCGCGGCCCGAGCCGGTATGAAAATTTTCAAAGACCCCAAAACTGTTGAATGGAAATCCAAGTTCGTTTATCTCTCCGTAGGCCCCGAGCTCCCTTTCAATGCCCACGTGTGGAACACCCATTTCCTTAAATATTCCACCCCTCCGGGCACCCCTTCCTTAGTTGCTAGCGCCAACAAAATCATAGGAGACAAGAAAGAGCTTAGGATGGAGGCCTTGATGACCCCGGAGAGGTTAGCCGCCTTGGGCTTCGTAGGTGGGGCTTCGCCTTCCCGGGCGTTATCGGTCTCCCGGAGCCAATCGGGGCACGAGGCCGCCACTTCGGGGCATACCGAGGCCTCCTCGGACGAGGTTGAGGCCAAGGGTCATTATGGGGTCCCCTCGGGCGAAGCCTTGGCCGAGGGGCCGGAGGACCATGAGCCCGTCTTCTCTGCCACCGAGTCCGAGATTGAGGTCGCCCCGTCCGAGGTCGAGGTTGTCCTGCCCGAGGTCGAGGTTGACGTCGAGCTCCGCCCCGTCGTGCCAGGAGGTCACTCTCGTCCCCTCTTTCTCGTCCTTATATATATATATATATATATATATATATATATATATATATATATATATATATATATATATATATATATATATATATATATATATATATATATATATATATATATATATATATATATATATATATATATATATATATGTACATATATATATATATATATACATATACATATATATGTACATATATATATATATACATATACATATATATATATATATATAATATATATATATATATATATATACATATATATATATATATGTATATATATATCCAGCTATATGTCTCCTACTTTTCTTTTTATATCAAAAACTGTTGTATCTGACAAACGCTTTCTGCCTGCAGGTGGGTCCTCCACGATGGTTTCTCGCGGGGAACTGATACGCCGTGATGCCGCCGCCCGAAGTCCTGCATCCAAGAGACAGAGAGTCGCCCCCGAGGGGACCAGCCGTGCCCCTCGGGTGCCACCTGCCAACACACGAGCTAGGACTCGAGTTACCGTTCCTACCGGCGTCGTGGCTACTTCCGCGCCTCCCGCTTCTGCCCCTCCCAGCGGGTTGGCCTCCATCTCCCTTGGCGAGGCGGCTCGCCTTCGGGACACAGTCTTAGGCATGCTTGGGCCTGGCGCGACGGAGTCCTTTCGGGCAGATGGGTTGCCCCCCATACTTCGTGATAGTCTCTCGGTACTCCCCGTTTCTTGAATTTCATGCATTTACTTCGAATGTTTGCACATCTCTTACCCCCTTTTTTCAAGGTGTTTCTCCGCAGCTCTGTAGCACTTGAGGAGGTCGAGTTCGCGAAGGCGCAGGCGCAGGAGGCCCATCAACAGGCCGATGACTTAAGGAAGGCTCTAGAGGCCAAGCAGGAGGAGTGCCGCAAGATAGCATAGGACTTCGATGCTGCCAAGAAAAAACACTCGGAGGAGATCATCCGCGCCGTTCGCAGCTACAAGAGATCTGATGGCTTTCGTCGTGACGTGAAGGCCTATGCCGACGAGCATTCGGAGGCCCTGGTGACCGCTTGGTTGGCTACGGCCCCGGGCCAGGAGAGGTTAGCAGAGGAGGGTGTGTTCTCCTATAACTTGGGATGCTACTCGACGCAGCGCAATATCTATGCCCTTCTCCGTCAGCGAGATGAGGGCTTTACCCCCGAGACTTGGGGGCTACCCGCTGAGTTGGCGGACCCCGAGGCCGAGGAGCGGGACCCGGACCCTCGGGAGGAGGCACGGGTAGAGATCGATGTCAACCTGGACCCCTCTCACACACAGACATCCTCCCCGGTGGCTGGTTCTTCCCGCGACGGGGTCGCCCCTAAAGCTTTGGAGGCGGAACACCCAGCAGCGGCTCACCAGGAGGGCGCCCCGTAGAGAGTCGTAGATGCAGGCCCTTAACTCTTTGTTTTGCTATGTATTTTGGGTTTCTGGACTTTATGTATGGAACTGTTAGATTATGATCTGCCTTGCTTCGAATACCTTTCCGCGTTTGCTCATTTTATTATCAGGCCTCCTTAGGGCAGCCGTCGGCTTCAAGTCACCGGACTTGGGCCGCTAAGCTCTTCCGTCGGTGTTGGTATGCGAGGTCGGGCCTCGTGCCTCCTTAGGGTAGCCCTCGGCCCCAAGTCACCGGACTTGGGCCGCTAAGCTCTTCCGTCGGAGTTGGTACGCGAGGTCGGGCCTCGTGCCTCCTTAGGGTAGCCGTCGGCCCCAAGTCACCGGACTTGGGCCGCTAAGCTTTCCATCAGAGTTGGTACGCGAGGTTGGGCCTCGTGCCTCCTTAAGGTAGCCTTTGGCCCTGAGTCACCGCACTTGGGTCGTCAGGCTCCTCTATCGTGCTTGGTGCGTGAGGTCAGTTCCCATGTCCCCCTGGGGTTAATCGGAGGGGTTGTACGGATGTACTCACCCCCCTATGAGCGAGATGAGTCCTTGGCGAAGTATTATTGCGTTTTATTGAAATCAGAAAGGGGCGGGTCTCCTTACAGGAAAAGAAACAAAACGGAAATCATCACTGAAAGTACTTGAGCAGGTGCTCAGAGTTCCACACCCTATCTATCGTCTTGACTTTCGGAGTTTTGAGTTTATAGCTGCCGGGACGGACCACGGCTGTGACTATGTACGGGCCCTCCCATCTCTTAGCGAACTTGCCTCCCTCGAGGGGCTGACTTGCTTCGCGCCTCCTCAGAACGTAGTCGCCGGCCTGGAAATAACGGGGTCGGACTCGCTTGTCATGGTAGGCTTTGGCCTGGCGCTGGTAGTTTTCGGCGCGGGTGGCCGCAGTCTCCCTCTTCTCGTCGATAAGGTGGAGCTCGATCTTGTGGTTGTCCTCGTTCATGTCGGGGTCGTACACCTGGGCCCGATAGGGGGGTATGGCGACCTCTACGGGGGCCCGGGCTTCAAAGCCGTAAGATAATGAGAATGGAGTCTCCTCGGTGGCCCTCCTCGGGGTGGTGCGGTAGGTCCAGAGGACGACATCCAACTCCTCCACCCATGCGCCCTTGGCTGATTCTAGATTCTTCTGGAGCCCATCCACAATAGTGCGGTTGACATTTTCGACTTGGTCGTTGGCCTGGGGATAGGAGACGGCTACACGGGTATGCGTTATGTGCCATTGGGCACAAAACTCACTGAACTCCTTTCTCTCGAACTGGCGCCCGTTGTCCGTGATGATATGCATTGGGACCCCAAAGCGACACAGGATGTTCTTGTAGATGAACTGTTTGCACCGGGCACTTGTGATGCTGGCTAGGGGTTCGGCTTCTACCCACTTAGTGAAGTAGTCCACTGCTACTATCAGGTACTTCCTCTTGCCCGATCCCATCGGGAGGGCCCCGACCAGGTCGACCCCCCACCGGGAGAACGGGATGACTGAACTGATCGGGGTGTAGTTAGTGGCTAGGCGACCTGGGCCAACCTGGAATTGTTGACAGGTTGGGCAGCTCCTTGCATAGTCCGCGCACTCCTTGGCCATCCGGGGCCAAAAGTAGCCCTGTAAGATGGCCCTCCGGGTCATGGTGTAGGCCCCCTGGTGGGCGGAGCAGGTACCCTCGTGGATTTCCTCCATGACTGCCCTTGCTTCCTCGGGGCACAGGCAGCGCAACAAGGTGCCGTTGTAGGATCGCTTGTAGAGTGTGTCCCCGATGAGTAGGTAGGTTGGGGCCCTCCGTTGAACGAGCTTGGTTTCTGCTTCATCGGGGGACAGGGCGCGCGACTCTTTGTACACTTTGAGGTGGTCCAGCCAGCAGGCGGGACAAACCTGCGCGGGAAGGACGGGGTAGGCCTCGAGGCTAGACCTCGCGAGGTCCTCCACCCGGGCGATCTTGGAGACATGTTCGGGGGTCCCTTGTCCGAGTTTGGAGAGTATGTCCGCGTCCGTGTTCTGTTCCCTTGGCACTTGCAGGACTTCGTGGTGGACTAGTTGTACCAAGAGTTGTAACACTACGTCACGGTACCTCCTCATCCTGTCCTCGTTGGCCTCAAACTCCCCCGTAACTTGCCCTACCACGAGCCTGGAATCACATCTTATCTTCAGCTTCTCGGCCCTCATACTCAGCGCGAGCCGGAGACCCCCGAGAAGGGCCTCGTACTCGGCCTCGTTGTTTGACAATTTGAAGTGGAAACGGAGCGTGTAGTAGGCCCTGAAACCCTCGGGGGTTACGAGGACGACCCCACCCCCGCACCCCTTGACACTCGAGGACCCGTCGGTTGATAGGGTCCACCACTCCTCTTCCTCGCTTCGGGCCTGCTCGATGGCCTCCCGGGCGGTGCACTCGACTATGAAATCTGCAAGTGCTTGTCCTTTTATAGCAGGTCTTGGCTTGAACTGGATGTTGTACTGGCTTAAGCGCATAGACCACCTTACCAACCTGCTGGCCGACCCCGAGGCCCTTAACACCGACTCCAGGGGCTGGTTTGTTAAGACATGAATGGGGTGCGCCTGAAAATAGTGATTGAGTTTCTTTGCGGTTACGTCAACTGCGAATATGGCTTTCTCGGTGGGAGAGTACCTGAGCTCGGCTCCCCGGAGGGCACGACTCGTATAGTAGACGGGGCGTTGCACACCCTCGTCATCCCGGACCAGCACGGAGCTGATTGCGGCTTGTGATATACCCAAGTACAGGTACAAGGTCTCCCCTCTCACGAGTTTGGCGAGCAGGGGTAACGACATCATGTAGGCCTTGAGGTCGTCGAAGGTCTTCTGGCACTCGGGGGACCACTCGAACCCCGAACTCTTCTTGAGGACCGTGAAGAAGGGCAAGGACTTCTTGGCCGACCTCGAGAGGAACCGGCTGAGGGCCGCTAGCCTACCGTTCAGGCGTTGGACCTGCCGGAGGGACCGCGGAGGCTCCATTTCCAGGATGGCCCTCACCTTGTCGGGGTTGGGCTCAATGCCCATCTTGGAGACCATATAGCCCAGGAACTTACCCCCGTGCACCCCGAAAGTGCATTTCTTGGGATTCAACCTTAAATCATAACGCTGCATAATGGAGAATACCTCGTCTAGGTCGTTGACGTGGGTATCGGCCTCTGCACTTTTGACTATCATGTCGTCCACATAGGCCTCCATGTTGCGGGCGAGGACCTGCTTGAAGACCTTGGCGACCATCCTGGTGTAGGTGGCCCCGGAGTTTTTGAGCCCAAAGGCCATGACTCTATAGCAGAAGACCCCTTCCGGGGTTGTGAAAGCCGTCTTCTCCTCGTTGTCCTCGTGCATGGAGATCTGGTAGTACCCCCAGAAGGCGTCCAGGAAACTCATGAGGGCGCAGCCGGCCGTTTCATCCACCAGCTGATCGATATTTGGTAACGGAAAGGGGTCCATGGGCAGGCTTTGTTGAGGTCGGTGTAGTCTACGCACATCCTCCAGGTGGGAGGTTTGGGGGCGAGGACCACATTGGCCAGCCATTTGGGGTATAGGACCCGGGGGGCCGTAGGGGGGGGGGGGGGGGCGAATGAGGTCCTGGTGGAAGGCGCCAGATCTAAGGTTGCTTCTAAAGATGGGTATGGCCGCCTTGTCGTCAAAATTGGAGACCCCTATCGACTCCTTCTTCCACTTGTCGAGGAAGTCGACCAGGGACTCCGAACTCCTTTGTTTCAAAAACATAAGTCAGCGAACTGCTTCTTTTTTCGCATATGGCCAGCGAAGTAAGACAGGAAGCGTCTCGTGAGGGTGGCGAAGGTCGAGATGGATCCTTCCGGCAGGGACTCGCACCAGTCCTATGCGTGGCCGTCTAGGGTCGAGAGGAGGCCTCGGCACATGATAGCGTCGCTGGCCCTAGTCATTAGCATGGCAGCTCGGTACCTGTTCAGGTGTTCACGCGGGTCAGTCGTCCCGGAGTATGCTTGGATGGTGGGGAAACGGAAGTTCGCGGGGAGGGGTTCCTCCATGATGTCCCGCGTGAACGGGGCGGTCAGGACGTCCAGAGGCTCTGGGGACCCGTTCCTGTCATTGATTTGCTTCTGAATTTCGTCCATCCGCCTGCGGAGTTGCTCGACCTCCCCGCGATGGGAGCTCGGAGCTCGACCATTCGACGGAGCTCGACCATTCGACGGAGCTCGACCATTCGACGGAGCTCGACCATTCGACTCTCCCGATCGCTCGACCCGGGAGTGTTGCTCTTGCCGCGCCGGGGCACGGGGCCCCTGGCTTGGCGATCGTCTCGCCTGCAACGACTCCTGTCGCGGCGGGGCTCGGGGCCTCCTGCTGGGCGAGTTTCGAGAACATGACCCTGCGGCGGGCAGCCCGGTGGCGGCGGGCCTTGGCCACAACCTGTCCTGGGCGGACACGCGGATGCCCAACCTCTCCAGGGCGGGCCTGGCTGGGGCTAACCTCCCTCGAACTCTCTCACCATCTTGATGTTGATCCAGGCGGATGCTGCCTCCCCCCCACCCCCCCCCCCCCCCCCGCCTGTCCGAGGGCCGGGGCGAGTTGACCTCCCCTTCCGTCTGGGCGACATGGGCGCGGGGTGGCCGGCTCGGGCCGCTACGCCCCCTTGTGGGGGCCGGAGGCGAAGTCGGGGCTCTTTGGGCGGCCTCCGGGCCGCCCGGAATACCTTCCTGGAGCCGCCGTGCAAGGCGGTTCAATGTCGCTGAAGCTTGTTGGAAGGCGGCCGCCCCTTCCCGGAAGAAGGCAGGATCCGGGGAAGGGCGAGCGGCCACCGCGCCGTTGCAGTGGTTGTTGAGGCGATCTCTGAGGCCACCCCTAGTAGGGGAGGCACGGGTGTTACGGGAGCCGCGAGAGTTGGACCTCGACCTTGCCATCGTGGGATATGGAGCACGCTCGAGCTTGTACGTCAACTCTCAACAAGAGCACCAATGGTGGATTTAATTAACCCGGGGTAGACCCGAATCACTAAACCCGATAAGTAAATGGATCGGAAAGATATGTGTCGCGGGGACAACTTTGTATTGATAGTAATTGTAGCCGGGTTACAAGGTAAATGTTGTAATAAAATAGTAGATGTCCCTAGACAAGACACTAATTAATCCTTTTATACTAGCCAAGACTCCCAACCGCCCCCCTATTCTCGCGGGGCAGTTGGATCACACGTTGACCGGATCCGTGCTAGTGCCCGGGGCCATATTATGCCTCCAGGCCCACGTAGGCCTCGCCCGAGACCGTAGGCCGAGGCCTTGGTCGGCCTCATCCGGGGCCGCCCTAGGCCTTCGCGCCGGCCTTCCCGGGTCGGTTCTCCCCGAGCCCATACTTAATATATCCATCATATGCAAAGGTAGGCCCAAACTTTGTATATACATGGACTCTTGAAATTGATTGAATTGTTACTGCCTTCCACGTGCCCCTAGTTGCGACGTACTGGATGTTGCGACTTTTAATACCAAGATTTGCATGTATGCTTTCCTCTCGTCTTTCCTTTATGTTTGCAGGCAACAAAAGGAAAGATTCCCTGTATATAACCCACGCACATTTCCTTCAGTGAGTATGCTTTGAGGTTGTAACTTGGGACTTCCTGTTTGATTTCCGCGTGTGGGAACATGCAGAAGCTTCCATATTCCACTTGGCTCATCATGCACCTCCCATGTGTACATCAGCCACGTGAGAATACATGTATGGGAGATTTTCCATTTAACAATGCTTGGATAAAGCTTTGACATCAATTTTAATTTCGTAGTTGGGGTGGGGAGCTGCTTGCTCAGCGCCTCACGTCCACCCGCACCATATTACTTTCTTGCCTTCGATAGATCGATCCCAATTTTCACCCATCGTTTAGGGTGGTCAGGATCGATTTTGATCGAGTCCCTCAGTGCTTGGCAGTGATGATCTGGTCTTCTCCTATGCTGATTGCCGGCTGCGGTTGCGACCGGGTGCTGAACAGCTCTGCCTGGTCACCTGATTTTCATTCTCCTTCGTGAATTGGTAGTTGTGTTGTGTCTCGGAGCCCGTGGTCTGTCTTTGATCCCTCGGCCTATTCTATGGCTCACTAGTTTTTGTCACGTACATACTGGCTTGCTAATATTTCTTCGCATGCTTGGGTGGTGTACGCATGGCAATAAGATTCCACGCATAGGTGTTTATAAATGGCAATAATAGCACTACACATCAAGCTGCTCCCCTCTTCCGAATGTGTAGAACTGCCCGGTGGATGTGCTTATATAGTTATATCTTACTGTTAGCCAATAATATGACTAACACAATCTAAAGTAATGAGGAACCTGTCCTCGTATAGCGGGAAGCTTCAGGATCATCCGAATATCCCTTGCCATAGTTGTTGTTATTACCATGGGATAGTAAACCTGATGGTGCGTGTATTCTGAACACGCGAGCTGTGGGAGGACTGTTTTGCTTAGAAGCCTACATGCCATCAACGTAGGCAAATAGTTAAATTAAGCTTAACTGAATATACTTAGTTGCGTAACAGATTAAATCACCAATTGACTTAATCTCTACTTCCACCACAGCCACCCAATAATACAATATATTATAATATTGTATTTAGGGAAAACACTTACATTCTCCCACTTGGTGCAAGTACTGGCACAACCTTCATTAAAGAACAAAACACATGAACCATAGTAATACGTTCTCTACTAATCAGGTGAGTAATATCTTCTATAATCACATGCATTTAAATTCCCTAACTTAAGTTCTTTATGAAAACAAGCCCTACGTTTATTCTTAGTCCCTTAATAGATGTTTCTCAAAATATATTATGTGCACAACTGAACGAAGAAACCATCCAAATTCACTGTATGATCTCTAAAAGCTTAGAAGCATGCCTTAAGTAGAGATCTCTTAATGTTAGCATAATGCTAACTATATTCTATGACTTCATAAGCACTACCTTTAACGGCTAAGAGTTTGGAGTTGACACGTCTGTCACTCCCACTCATTAAGATAGCCAAAAGATAGTCAAGTCACAGAAACATTCCAATAACTTAGACAACAAATCAAAAAAAGTCTAAGTCCATAAATTTGGAATCTTAAACATACACCAACTTCCCAAATAACCTCAAGGTCCACCTCAAAATTTATTGAACATAACTAGTCTTACTTATATGTCTTGCAAAATTGTTTTGAGCCTTACAAACCAAAATGGCCCAGGATCAATTTTGAAGAACCTAAAGACTCTATTAATTGCTAAAGAATTTATTAATTGGCAATGCACCACAAGTTAAATATTTTCATTCTAATAAATTCATTAATATTGTTACAACATTTTCATAAATATGTTGTATAACCAAACGTTCAATGAAATGAACTTATGAATTTTAAGAACAAAAAAAAAAACTAAATTAATACTTGTGGAAACTTCTGGACTATATAGCTAGACGCACAATCCAATTTGAAAATGTATGAAAACAATTAAATCCATCAGCTTTAGTGAAGTATTTTAATGATCTTTTTCTAAATGATCACTCCCACTGATTAAGATATTTTTTAGCCAAATTAATTATATAACACTCATAATTGATTTGACCAACTAAATAATGAAGATATAATTCTCCACCATTAGTTGGGAATACTAAATAATCAATATTTGGTTCCAATTATAGACCAACTAAATGAATAATTAATGAGGACATAATTCTCCACCATCGTTGGACATACTAAATTAATAAAATACATCTTCCAAAACCCAGTTGGAATTTAGCTCAAAAGATACATTTTATTATTGGAATCCAAAAGAGGAATATCAAACCACGCAACTTACTATAGTTAGTCCAAATAACCAAGTAAACTTCGTGAAACAATTAATAAAAGGTGCTTAAATTTTGGGAAGTAACTAAATACATTTTTTGCCAATGCAAATCATGAAACTTAGAATTATAATTGAACTAAATTTATAAATTCTAAGAAAGTGAAATAAAATTATTATTTAATGAGTTGATGAATTTATTGACATAAAACTTGCCTGTAGGCTAAAGTTTTAATTCTATTAAATTCAATTTTCTTATGATAATATTTTAATCTCAATTACTAAATGGTCAGAAAAATCCAGTGACATAAAACTTGCATGTGGGATAAAGTTCTACTCAATGAGTTCCAACTGAAATTTTATGATGAAACAATTATCAAATGAGTTGAAGAATCAAGTGACATAAAACTTGCCTATGGGCTAAAGTTTTAATTCAATTAGATTCATTACAATTATACAATTATCAAATGAATTGAAGAATCAAGTGACACAAACCTAGCTTGTTGGCTGAAGTTTTAATCCAATTAGATTCATTACAACCATTATGACAAAAAACTTAGATCATGTTCCTTATCTTAATTCCTGTGGGCAAATTAAGATATATTGTAACAACTCAAAATTTTATTTCATAAATCCAATTTTAAGAAATTTCAAAATAGTCATTTTCACTCCATTAAAAAATTTTGCAATCAATTGGTGTTTGAATAAATTATTTTTGACTCATTTTAAATTAATTCAAAACCAAAACTTA